CTGCGCCCTCGCCCTCCTCATCCGACTCATCCTCGTCCAGATCCTCCACGTCAGGCTGCTCATCACCCTTCTTCTTCTTCTCCTCCTCCTCCTCCGCCGCCTCAGCATCCCCACCTTCCGCCTTCTCATCTTCCTTCATCTCCTCGTCGTCCGACACCTCCTTCGTCCTCTCCTTCTCCACATACAACTTTATTGGATAGCTTATGAATTGCGAGTGCTTCTTGATCACTTCACGAATTCGACGCTCCTCCAAGTACTCCGATTGATCCTCCTTTATGTAGAGAATCACCTTAGTCCCACGTCCTAGTGGCTCCTCGTCGTACTGCCGAATAGTGAATGAACCACCGGCTGAAGACTCCCACAGGTACTGCTCGTCATCATTGTTCTTCGAGATCACCTGCACCTTGTCTGCCACTAGGTACGCCGAGTAAAAACCCACACCGAATTGGCCAATCATGGAGATGTCGGCACCAGCGTTCAACGCCTCCATGAATGCCTTCGTGCCCGAACGTGCAATAGTACCAAGGTTGTTCACCAAGTCCGCCTTCTTCATCCCCACGCCAGTATCGATTATAGTCAAGGTGCCCTTAGCCTTGTCGGGAATTATCTACAAGCATACAATTTTCACCACAGTTAAACTCGTGTCCACAAACAACAACAGTAAGTAACTGAACACAACCAAGCGACACTCACCTTGATGCACAACTCCTTCTCCGTATCCAGCACTGAGGGGTCAGTGAGACTCATGTAACGAATCTTGTCCAAAGCATCAGAACCGTTGGAGATGAGTTCTCTCAGAAAGATCTCCTTGTTCGAGTAGAACGTGTTTATGATGAGGCTCATAAGCTGAGCGATCTCAGCCTGGAAGGCGAACGTCTCGACTTCGTGCTCCATCGGAACGTCAGTTGCGGCGGCTCCCTCGGTCATCCTGATTGCGCACAAAACACCACAACAAAACACCAACGAGTGCTCGCGCCGCGCCTAGCCATCGCCTATAAACCACGTTTCGTACTTTCTAGAAACACGAACACAATTCCAACCAATCACACGCGCATAGAAACGTCTAGAAAACAGCTTGCCCTCACCCATTGGTTGTCACCGCCTACCGTCTGCTAGCCTTATGATTGGTTCACTGCCGACGCCATGCTGTTTCGCCTCGCGCCGCCATGTTTGGCTCGAAGTGAAGGAAAGAGGTTGTAGCAGAAGCCACGGCCTGTTGTAGTACACGAGGCCGCTGTGTACTACAACAGGCCGTGGCTCGCTTACATGCATTGCGAAAAGTCATTGCCAGAAGGAAAAGTGGTGGTGGTGGTGGTGGTGGTGGTGCATCGATGATTTGGCGGATAGGTTTATTGCTCCTGGGAAGTTGACAAGGCAGA